TTTTTTTTTCCCAGTGGCCCTAATCCTCTTCCGTAGCAGAAAAACAATAAAACTTCTTGAAAAATACAAGTTTATGTAACAGAAAGGCCTCTTTATTATTCTGTTTACTTTTATTAATTTATTTTATTCTGTTATTCTGTAAAGTCCAATTTATACCAAATATAAATTGGACTTTAAAATAGAGGCTAACAGACTTTTCCATGCTGCAGCCCCGGAAAACTGGGTCAGCTTCTGTTTGGGAAAATATTTAAAGGTCTTTAGCAGGGGGTCCGTGACCCCTAGGGGGTCCATTGCATGGGAGTCGCAAAAGTTTTGGATGATTACTTTTTTTTTATATATATTTCCCCCTGCAATTTTTCCACTAATTGAAATGTCTTTAAATACATATTAACATGAATTTAACACAATGTAGTAGACAGATAAATGGAGGCAGAAGACGTCTTTCAGGCATCAATGCACACATTCAGCGACACACAGGAGCTCGTTCAAGCTGGGCACCATTTCATTCACAACACCTGTCCCATCAATGAGGAATCAGAATCAGAAATACTTTAATAAAGTGACCTTGAGAGTCAAGAAAGGCACTGTTAAATAAAATGTAATATTATTATTATTATTATTTAATAATCCAAGGAAGAAATTACTTTGTAATAGATAACACAATTTCATATAATATATATAAAATTAGGGGTCTATTCTTCATCATTTCAGTTGTAAGAATGTCAACTTGTATTTTCTAACACTATTAAATTACCAATGACAACCGTAAATATCGGCCTCAGATTATGACATCAGTCGACCTCTATGACGTAGAATTTACATCATCCTGGATGATCTCATTCATCGCTTTTTTTGTCAAAACCCTCAGAGCCCATTGGCTACTCGGACAAACCTAGCAGCCTCTCTTCTCATTTGGTGTTTACTCTACTGGGGAAAATCAGTCAGTCTCTGGCCGCGATCATTGGTCAGCTTATACGTCGATTCAATCCGCAGCGCTTCCTGATTGGCTCATTCGCTCTGATGGGCGGGACCAAACCCCTGCTTGACATTGTTGTTGTAAGTGGTAGAGAATTACTTTGTCGGCGGTGGTCCTAATGGAGCTCCTGTGCTGTTTGGAAGCTGTGAATATGCTTAAAAGTTAAAGTTCTGCTTTTTTGAGGACGATATAAGATATTTACAAGTTAGGACTTTTTGGGAAACTTAACGGGACGATGAGAAGTAGATGTGAGAGGCCGCTGAAGGTAAGCAGTAAAAGGATCCCCCCCCAGCTAGCAGCGTTAGCTCGGGTTAGCTCCTCGTGAAGTAGCCAGTTGCTAGCTGGACGTAAAGCTCTGCTGTTCCAACTGAAGGAGGAAACGCTTCCATTCTTTGTGTCCGTTATAAGCCCGTGTTCTTCAATTTAATATTCTGCTGTGTTTGTGAAGGTAAAGTTTGGGGTTGTAGGGAAACCAGTCTGTGCGTCTGGACGCCTCAAACGCGTTTATATAAGCATTTGTGTTGTTAGCAGATAATTAAAGAAAAAAGAAATTATCAGCTTCAAAATCCGCTGTTTGAAATGTTCTGCAAAAGTCTGCAAACATTTCTATGGGTTTTTATTTTATTTCAACAATATGGCTTTAATTTTGCTCCACTTTTTTTATTTTTATTTTTTTAATTAAATATCAAAATAAATTCCTAACCGTCTGCGCTAAAGCTGGCATCAGGATCCAGAAGCTGAGCCGCCGGTGTGTGTTTAAAGCGCAGCCGTGATGTAAGGCTTATTTAAAGCAGCAGCTTAGCGGGAAACGACCAGAAGTCACTGTTTACACCTGCTCACGTGTAAAGCAGGAGCCTCCTGTTAACGAGCCAGCTGTGGAGGAAAAGCAACATAAAGCGGCTGCTTTTAGGGCTCAGCTGCAGCCCGGTCACCGGGTTCACCTTGTTCCTGGTTATTTGCTGTCATTTCCAGCACCTCCTCCATATGAGAGAGAGAAAGGGTTGAGTTTCTCTTAGCTTTGAATTATTTACCTCTTGCAGTTGTGGAGGCCTTTGTTTGTCAAAGTTGGGGTTGTTGGTCAACAAGAGAAGTAGGGCAGTTTTGTTGTTGTTGTTTTTTTAACAGGGATTGTTGTGCATTTGGTCTGCTTATGTTGTCTCTGGTTGCATTATGCACCATATATTATTGTTGGCTTCTACTAAACTGCAGAGATAATTATCCACCAGATCAGGGTAACCAATTAAAAATCATCCCTTCCATTTCTGTCACTTTCATCCCTGGTCAGGGTTCCCGCAGGTCTTTAAAAAGTCTTAAAGGAATAGTACACCCAAAACATGATTAGCCTTCATTTTCTACTCACCCCCATGCTGGACAACACTCT